GGGTGGTGAGGAGAGGTGAGCCTGAATTAGGGGAGGAGGGAGAGTTCATGGGCAAGTCAGGCATGGTTTGGAATAAGCGTGCAACAGGTATGTGTTTTGCCTGAAGGAGAAGCCCAGAATCGAATGTCCAAACACCTGGCTTCTCTTTGTAACTTGGGCCAACCTCTTTTGCTCTCTGGGCCTGAATTACAGATCTGTAAAATGGATCTATAATTCATCTCTGCCTGAGTATCTCCAAAGTCCAGGGTTGGGAGGCGGGGAGGAAGGTAAGTCTTTTCTTCTTAGTTGTTGATGGAACTTTATTTTACTCATTTATTTACATGTGGTGCTGAGGCTCGAACCCATGCCTTCTTCCACTGAGCCTGAGCCTCAGCCCCAGCCCGGAATGTAAGTCTTTTTACAACTTGTGTTGTCTTCCCTCTGCCCCCAGGAATCCTTTGCCAGAGACTCCTCCAGCCATGGACAGCCCTAGTCTTCGGGATCTTCAACAGCCTCTGCTGGCAGGCACAGCCTGTCAGCCCCCTGCCCGGGAGCCTGTCAAACCTGAGCTAGTGCCCCCATCAAGAGAAACAGCCTTTGCAGAGTCCCTAAGAGGTTGGCAGTTCCCACCACCACCTCTTCCCTCTGTGAGTGGAGGCCTGGGAGAGCCAGGGCCCCCTGTCCTTGAGGTAGGAGCAGCAGATCCTGGTGGGAGCCAGGGGACCGGGCTGGGGGTGAAGCCAGCTGCAGTCAATATTTGGCAGGCCAGTGGCTGAAGTCTCACTTCCCAACTGTGGGTGGGCTGCTGGGATTTCTAGTTAGTGTTCTTCCTGTTCTGTCTCTCCTGATTTTATTCTTCTTCTTTTTTTTGGCAGCACTGGGGATTGAACCTAGGGCCTCACAGGTTCTAGGCAAGCACTCTAACATTGAGTTACACACCCAGCCCTTTTTATTTTTTGAGACAGATTCTCCCTAAATTGCCAAGGTTGGTCTCCAACCTGCAATCCTCCTGTCTTGGCCTCCCAAGTAGCTGGGATTATAGGTGTACACTGCCATGTCCACTTCTAGTTTCTTTATTGGTTTTGTTCCAGATTCATCCCTCCTCTTTCTTCCCTGGTCTTTGCCTTTTTGTTTTCCTTCTGATTTCTGTCTCCTCTGTGCTCTAGCTGCTTCTCTTTTTGGGGGGTTGGGGTAGAGAACTGGGGATTGAACCCAAGGGTGCTTGACAACTGAGCCACATCCCCAGCCCTTTTTATTTTTTTGAGACAGGGTCTTACTAAGCTGCTTGGGGTCTTGTTGTATGGCTGAGGCTGACCTCAAACTTGTGCTCCGCCTGCCTCAGCCTCCAGAGTCTCTGGGATTACAGGCGTGTGCAACTCTGCCTCTCTCTTCAAAACCCATATATATACCTCTGGACTGTGACCCTTTTGTCAAATTCATGTTACTTTTTTACTATTTCTCACTGCTGTACATACTGTCAAACTTGTTCTTTATTTTTTAATGGTTTTCCAATTAATCTAAGAAATTACCCAAAATGTAAACCATCTATCACTATAAATCCTCATCTGTTCATGGTTGCTGGGCTCAGGAACCTGGGAAGGACTCAGGTGGAGGCTCTGCCTTGGGGTCTTCCATGAGCTTGCAGCCAGTGGCTGGAGCTAGACCTGGCGCTAGCCGGGGCCTGTCCCTTCCTGTGGTCTCGGGGTATTCCGTGCATTGTCTCCGGCAGCTTTGGGGCCATCAGACCTCCAGCCTCCAGAGGGTGTGTTTCAGCAAAGCAGCAGCTGCCCCATCTTTTCCCATCTAACTCAGCCGAGGAAGTCGTGTAGCATTACTTTACCACATTCTTTTGATGACAAGTTAAGTTGTGAACCTGCCTAGGTTCATGGTGGAGGGGACCCAGACCTCATTCCTTGATGGGAGGAATACTGAAGTCACACTTTGAGGCCTAAGCAACTTAGACCCCCCCCCCCCTCAAAATAAACAAACAAATAAATAGGCTGGGGCAGGGTGTGACTCAATTTTTTTCATGGTAGTGTGCTCCTGGGCTTCAATCCCCAGTACTGGGTTGGGGGAAAGACATGGAATGGAAGATTGTTGTGACCATTTTTGGAAAATGCCACCTGCCACATATAGCATCACTTTAGCTGAAGATTTTGAACACCTTATCAATTTTGCTAGTTCACATTCTATTATCTGCAGCTCTATGCTTGTCATTGTCTTTGAAAAATCATTTTTAGGAACAAGTATTATTATTATTTTTTGGTTGTGGGAATTTAACCCAGGGGTGCTTTACCACCGAGCCATATCCCCAGCTCTTTTTGAGTCAGGGCCTTATTAAGTTGCAGAGGCTGGTTTTGAATTCACGATCCTGCCTCAGACTTTCCAGCTGCTGGGATAGCAGGTGTGCACCACTGCACCCTGTTTACGAAAACTTATTTTTAGGCCTAGAAGGTATCTTCTTCCAGAAAGCACATGGAGTGGTATTCAGCTGCCTGGATGCACTGATGCAGAGACCATTTGTAATCTTATTAGTTCAAGGTTTGAATTTTCTGAGTGGCAAATTTATCTGCAGGGCAAGAGGGGCCTCCTGTGTTTGTGTAACCAAAATAACCTTGATTAAGTTTTGTCCTTAATTCCTTAAATCTTGTGAGCTATCTGCTGCTTCAGTTTTTGATTTGATGGTGTAGGCCTTGTGCATGCTCCACACCTGCTCTGCTGCTGAGCTACATTCCCAGATTTTTATGATGGGACCTCACTAAGTTGCCCAGGCTGACTCTGAACTTGTGATCCTCCTGTCTCAACTTCCTGAAGAGCTGAGATTACAGGTGTGTGCCACTACACCTGGCTATTTGTAAGATTCTTCCTATAATATACTTTCCATCTAGAAACTGAAGTTTTCAGCAGGCAGTGTCCTAATTATTTAGGACACTGGAGCATTTTATAACTTCCCATCTTTTTGCAAGTTCCTGATGTCTGTCTTCACTTCAGGCACTTTTAACTCAGAGGCTGTAGCATTCTGTTTATGACCCATGACTGGACCTGTCAATCTCCAGAAAATGATGTGCAGGTGGGGCTCTTTCTGAACAGGACCCACAGCTTCTCCTCTAAGGGATCCAGGACAGAGGAGCCCAGAGCCCACCTCTGTGAGCAACTTTCACGCCTCTGGGGAGGTACTACAGGAGTCTTCAGTGGTGCCTCAGGGCAGAGCAGTGGGCAGGGAAGGTGGGTGGAGATGCCCACCCAAGGCTCTCTCCTTCCACAGGATACGTCATCCAGTGACAGCGACTCAGACTGGGACGTGGGCAGCCCCCTCTCCCCCCTTCTGCCCGCTGACCACCTCGGCCTGGCAGTCTTCTCCATGCTGTGCTGTTTCTGGCCCCTGGGCATCGCTTCCTTCTGTCTGGCCCAGAAGGTCAGTCTGCGTGGGACAGGGAGGGTACTGGGCTTAAGGGAACATTTACATCGTGTAAACAAGAGGAGCCATGGCCGAAGGCAGCGGGGAGATGGGAGAAGGATCCCCTGAGCCTGCCTTCTGGGGCACACCACTGAACTCCCCTGTGCCTTCTTGTTTTTCTCTATAAAATGGGAATAATTCCTGCCTTGGGGTCACTGTGAGAATCAAGACATATAGTAACATACTTTATCAGTCACGCAGTGTTCCCATTGACCCGCTGTGCCTGATTCACAGTAGGTGCTTGGAGGCATTGGAATGCATGAATTGGTTTACTGGGTGGAGGAAGGGCTGTGGGAAGCAGAGTGGGGATGAGGGACACCTTTGTCACAGTGGCCACTGCCTCTACAGACCAACAAGGCTTGGGCCGAGGGGGACGTCCAGGGAGCAGGGGCTGCCTCCCGCCGCGCCTTCCTGCTGGGGGTCCTCGCCATCGGACTGGGCCTGTGCACATATGCAGCTGCGCTGGTGACGCTGGCTGCCTATCTTGCCTCTCGAGCCCCACCCTAGTTCCCCCACTGTGACCCCAGAGGCTGGTGGCCCAGTGCATCTGTGGGCAGGACACGGAGATTCCTGGTGCTGAAAGCGGAGGCAGCAGCATCCAGAAAGGGGAGTGAGCTAGAGACCCTCTCCCCTTCCTGGCCGCCTCTCACCAGGCAGCAGCAACATGAGAAATTAAACAAGACACCCTTGCAGCCAAACTTGAGTCTGTCATGTGTACGGGGAGGTGGACTCGGTGGTGGTGTAAGGACCAGGCAGGTGACATAGGGGTGCAGGGTCCTCACACTGTAGTATGTTCAGTGGTTAGTAGAGGATTGAGCCAGGTCCCAAGTCCTCAGTTCCCCACCCGGCAGCCATGCAACTCGGCCCAAGGGACATCTCTTCCAGCCTCACTTCCTCTCATCTGTAAAATGATTTTCTCTATACATCAAGCTTACATACATCCCTCATAGAAATGGCCACCTGCTCTCTCCCTCTGCACTCTTCTGACACCTGAGTGGCAGAATCAGCACAGCCTGCCTAGGCAACAGAAGTGAGAACACTGAGGTATAACTGGTCCTGGGCTCAATTAAGGGTCTGGTATCTGCACTCTCGATGTTCCTCATCCACTTCATTCTATGCCAGCCCCCACCACGGGGAGAGAAAACTTCCCTAGTAGCTCAAGACTCCTTTCCCAGGTCCTTCCAAATCAAAGGGACTAGGCTTGGGAAGGATGGGACTCTAGCCGGGTGTAAAGGTGCACACCTGTAATCCAAGCAGCTCAGGAAACTAAGGCAGGAGGATCATGAGCTCAAAGCCAGGCTCAGCAACTTAGCAAGACCCTGTCTCTAAGTATTAAACACAAAAAAGGGCTGGGGATGTGGCTCAGTGGTTAAGCACCCCTGAGCTCAATCTCTGGTACCACACACATACACACACACACACACACAAAAAAAAAGGACTCTAAGAAAAACATGAAAGTGCTGGCACCAGGCAAGCAGGACAGCTGTTTGCACAGAGCTTAGCAGAAGCAAAGGGAGAGCGCACCAATTGGAACTGGCATCAAGTAATAAAAAAACCCTGCCGCTTAAGTCTTCTCACTGTTTAATGCCATTGATGGATTTTGCTAGAAAACAGCTTTCCCAGAGCATCTAACAGAGCACAATTTCAAGCTAAAGATATCTGTGCATTTCCTTCCTGGTTACAGGAGGATGAAGACGCTCCAGGGGGGCAAGTGGGGATTCTGTGAGCTAACTCAAGCATGTGAAGCAAATAGTAGAGGGTCAAGACTCACGAAACCCCCTATCCCAGGGGTTTGCAGACCCAGCCCATGGGGCCTAGTTGCTCTTAAGCTCCCCGCAAACACTAAATACTGCTGGGGAGCAGTCAAAAGGCAAGGATGCCCATGACCTCCAAAACCCTTGGGTGCCACCACCCGACTGGGCATCGTGAGCCTCAACTGCTATTTACAGAGGAGTGATACCCAGCCTGCAGATCTTCCTGGGGTCCCTGGGTTTTATCTAAACAGGAAGGGCTCTGAGACTGGACTGGGGTGGGGGGATGCTTGTTCCTCTGCTAACTAGCTGGTGACCTCGGCAGCTAACTGGCTTCTGAGCTTATTTCCTCATCTTCAAATGAGCCCCACCTCATGGGGTTGCTGGTGGGTTAAAGCAGCACTCGGCCAGATTCCTCCTGTGGCTCACAAGGTCCCACAGGGTCCCTGGTTCATGTTGTCTCCCTTTCCTGCCCTTCTCATTCCACTCACCACACTGGCTGCCTGGCTGGTCCTTGGGGCACTCTCTCCTGTTACACAAGAACTTGTTCCCTTTCCTCCTGCAAGGCTCCCCTGCTTGGTGTCTCCATTCATGTATTACATCTGCCTCTCCCCAAATGACTCTCCCAGTCTCATTCCTTATTTCTTGTTTTTGTCACATTTACCAGCAATTTTTTTGTTTCCTCACCCCACTGCTTCTAGAACACAAGCCCAGGGTCTGTGGTTCACTGCCAGGTTCTCAGCACCCAGCAGGGCTTGATGCAGTAGGTGTTCAGCTGGACACTGAGTGCATACCAACACATTCATCAACACGGGGGACTCCTTTTAATGCTGTCCTTGGGAGGAGGGGTCTATAACCTAGGCCGACTGTCAGGGGCCAAGCCCCTCCCACCTCAATAGAAGCCCTGCAGCTGTGGTGCCGAAGGCCACACAGGCACCCTGGACAGAGAGGGGAGGCTGGGCACTGGCTTTCTCCAGCCTGAAGATGGTGGCGGTGGGAAGGGCGCCCTGTGCGGCTGGCCTCAGCTCTTGGAGTAGCGCCTCTGCAGCGATTCCCGGTAGAAGCGGAAGACGTGCTGTGAGGCGGCCTGGGCGGCAGCCAGGCACTGCTGGAGCTGGCAGGAGAGGCGAGTCAGTGCCAGGGCTTCGCCCCACACCCATCTGCAGCCCAGCAGGCCCAAGAGGTTCCTGGACTCCACTGACTCCAAGCCCCACCCCCCAGCCGACCACTCCCCTTCCCACCCCAGGCAAGGCAGGTGGGGAGGGGATTATCTCTAGTGACTTATCTCCCACTTTATAAGCTTTCTTAGTGGGGAGCAGGAGGAAGAAGCTTCAGGGATCTGAGGCTGGCAGCAACCAGACCTGAGACCAATGGGAGCAGCATTCAGACACCCTGGAAGATACCCCAACCTTGCGGAGCCACGGCTCCTCAGAGCTCAATGAGCTGGTCAGACCTTGGGATTTGGAGCCATGGTGTCAAGAGACCTCCAATCTTTACTGCCACATGTTCCTAGGTTTGTAGGAAGGGCCAGGTTGGAAATGCAACCATCTCGCCCCATAGTTCCAAGTTCAGTACCTTAGAGACCCTACCCTCTGAGCTTGAAGCTGAGGGCCCTCAGAAGCTCTGCCTCCCACTTTCAAACCATGCTCCACCTTTTTTCCTATCTCACAAATTGGGCTTCCCTCCAAATTTCCACCAAGGTTTCCATGGTTACAAATATTGAAGCCCCTACCCCCCCCACCGGCTTTCACCCCACCCCATGCTGGTACCTCGGCATCAGAGTAGAGCCCCTTGGTGGTGGACATCAGTAGCTTCCGTTCCACACTGTCTAGAGCAAAGGTCAGGACTGCTCGCGCCTCCTAGGGACAAGAGGTAGAAGGTAGCTGAAGTCCTCGAAGCCCTGCTTTCCCACATCTCAAGTGCAGCTGTTTTGTCTAAATATTACTCTGATCCTGGGTAACAGTTATCTCCTTTGTAGAACTGGCCCCCATGCTTCTGATTCCAACCAGCTGCCACACCTGCCACTTAGAGGAGCCAATGCTAGTCATTTACCGGGCTCCTTTCCAGCAGCCAACCCCCTTTCTAGGCTCCATGCTCTGCAAGGGCTGGAGACCAGTGGATCATATTCTTTAGACTCTCTCGCTGTTAGTTCAACCAGTAAAGAAAATCTCTTGGGAAATGGGGAAGAGCATCTCAGTCCTCATTCTGACAGTAGCAGCTGCTGTAATAGCCACAGAGGTGACGGGTTCTGCACTTCAGCATCCAGGATTGAGGCAGGACATCTTTTGAGCATCAAGAACCAACTGCGACAATGTCTCCAATAGTACTGCAGCATTCCCCTTTGCCTCTCAAGACTCTTCCAACATTGTCCTTACCCATCCCTATATTAAATACCTCCATCCTAAGTACCCCAAGTGTTGTGTGGTTTTCCTGACTGGCTAAGACCATGAGAAAACCCCAAAGAACAAGGACCTTAGGGCACTGCAAGCCTGAGTGGGTAAAGAAAGCTTTCTAGCCTTTGGATTTTTTTTTTTTTGGTACTGGGATTGCACAGGCCAGGCAAGCGCTTTATCACTGAGGTACATACATCTCTAACCTGTCCTCCATCCTCTTAATATGAAAGGATGGAGCTGACAGAGGCTACCTCGGCCTCAGGAAAGATGCTGGCCAGAGAGAATGAAGCCAATATACAGAAAAAAAGCAGGGATGAGAAATGAAGTAAGGAAATCTGTTTGAAGTTCTGGTTTTAACTAGACCTCTGTTCTTTCAGGGTTTGGAAACAAAAGCCAACACATTCTTGTTTGGCTTGTGCATGTCTTGAGTTGGGTTCTAGGACTTGCAGCTGAATGAATCCTGACGAACAGAGCAGGGCCTGCCAACTGGGGCTGAGGTGCGTGCGCCAACTGACTTGGAGACAGTGAGTCCTGGAGGAAGGCCAAGAGCCACCCAGCCATAGCCCTTCATACCTACCTTTTCTTGCTTGGCTGTGGGGTCCAGCACCAGGATCCCATCAGAGTCCAGGGCACAGGTGACCCCGCAGAACAGGGCTCGCATGGGCACACCTGCATCCACCAATGCCATGCAGGCAGCATTCAGGCAACAGGCCAGGAGCTGAGCCCAACGGGAACAGTTAAGAAGAACACCTACTGGAGAGCTGGCAGCTGAAGGATCACAGCAACCTGTACCTGCTAATGCCCATGGCAGACCTCACTAGCAGATCCCAGAAAGGCAGCATGGTGGGGGATAAGCAGCTCTGGGATCAAGTAAGCCCTGTTTCACACCTGGCTTTGCTATCTTTCAGCTGTGATCTCGATCAACTGACTTACGGAGTCTCAACCTCATCTCTACATGGGAACCATGATGATATTAACAAACGCATGCTAAAAGCACACAGCAAGTATCTTCAGGGAAACAGGGTCAGAGGGGAGAAACCTCTCAAGGTGACATGGGACAGGCACTGGCAAAGCCAGGCCCAACACTGAGGAATCTGTAGTCATCCTTGACACCAGGTGATGGAGTCAGGGTGGAGGGAGGAGCCGTCACAGGCTGGAGCTGCCGCAGTTTCCTGTTTTTCATCCCTAGGCTTAGCAGAGCGGAGAACGGCTTCAGCTTTATAATCGCTCTACCACTAACAGTCACTTCCCCTGGGCTTTAGTTTTCACCTCTTTAAATGAGTTCTTAACAGGTTTTCCCTCCTTCCATCCACACAGTGCCCGCCTAAACGGGCCACACACCAGCAATGCCCTCTAGAAATGCCCATTTCTGGCCTTCATCCTCAACCTCACTTGCCTAAAGCACAGGAATCTTTCAAAGGCAGAGGTTCTGATCCCTCTGCCCTGCCTGCTCAGGGTTCCCCGAGTGTCAACAAACTGGACCCACATTAAGGGGCAGGCTGGTGATCACTGGCACAGACTTGGAGGTCAGGCAGGCTTAGGCGAGTCCTGCCTCTGCTGCTGTCCACCTGTGTCCTTAGGCAAGGCACTTCCCTTCTCTGAGCCTAAGTTTCCTCATCTGAAACATCTGTCAAAGTCCTTGGGCCCAAGTCCTGGACGAGCCACTTACACAAGGAACATGAAAGCATTTGATTTGTGTGCTGAGGATTCAATGAGTTTAAGTATATAAGGTGCTCAGAACAGTGCCTGGCACACAGCAAGCGCTTAAGGTGTGTCTGTCTCCTTCTTTATCAGCTGGTGCCTGCCAAGTGTCTGGTGTTACAAAGCCATCAGAAGAGATTCTGGAGTACTTCCTGTCAGAGGGTGGACAGGGGAAGGATACGGAGCCTGCATCGCTGACTACCTGGAGCACCACCGTGATGGAGGTGCGTGGGTGCAGCGCTCCTAGCACCACCGCCTCGCACGTGTTCCTGATCAACCGCTCCCGGCTCTTCTCTGCTACACCTAGGGAAATTGAGGGGAGGTTGTCAGGCTCCTCCCTTCTACCTGGTTCCCCTTCCACTTGCCCCACGACCTGGAGGAAAGCCCTGTGAAAGGGGTCTGCAGGTTCGTCGTGGGATGGCACAGGAACCTGCGTGGACGACAGGATTAGCAGTGGGAAGAGTGCGGGCCGACTGCCACCCACCCACCCTGGCTACCATCAGCACCCAAGGAAGGAATACAGCGGAGTCTTGTGCTGCGGCTCATGTCCATGCCCATGCCCATGCCCATCGGGCCAGGCCAGACCACAGGGAGTGAAAGGAGACAGGGTGAAAGGGCAGAAAAACAGGTTAAAAGAGGAACTGGAGACAGGGAAGAGATGGGGGAAATTGACAGACGCTGAGACACAGAGGCAGGTAGAGAAAGACACGGAAACAACAGATGGCGACTGGCGGGTGTGGTAAAGACTGGGGAAAACAGGCAGGAAGGAGGCGGCTAAGGTCCCAGTGAACTGGACCTTTAGAGGTTCAGCTGGGCCCAGTTACCAGGCAACCCGATCTTTGGTCTCAGGATCACTTCGAGCGTGGCCTTGTTGAAGATCTCTTTGCTGACCTTCACCTCGGCTGGCCCATACACACCCGCCAGGACAGAGGTATCACCTGGGAAGACAGCAAGGGAGGCTTTAGTCACACCTTCCCTGCTTCTGGGTCCCAATTTGCAGCGATGGCTAGGGTTCCCCATGTCGCCCCTGCCATCTGTTGGCAGCAATTCAAGGACCCACTTCACTTCGGCCTCCACTTCCTCATTTATAAAACAGGTTGACACCAGCATCTCCCTCACAGTGTTTTTGTGAGGAGTAAATCACTGTCCAAAGCTTGGGGTGCAGCTCAGGGGTACAGCTCTTACTTGCCTAGCACATGCAAGGCTCTGGGTTCCCTCCCCAGAATCTCTCTCTCTCTCTCACACACACACACACACACACACACAGCACTTCACTCACAACTCTTAGAGGACACCGCCTGGCCCACGTGGAGCACACAGGAGACTTTAGCTCATATTATCAACTGACCCCCACCCGGGAAGCTCAGTGTTTAATCTCTGCAGTTTCTTGTACCTTAGAACCATCACAGAGGAAAGGAGGCCTATGTGCCATCTGTCTCCCGCCCCCCCGCCCCCCACCCTGTCTGAACATGAGGCTGAGGCATATTTCAGTATCACCGAGGTTCCTTGCCTGCTTCTATTTAAGAAACAAAAATCAAACTGGATTATAGATCAGTGCTACAAACTGCAAATAAATATGTGGCAAGGAACAAGCTCACAGGCAGGCTCCAGGGGGACGGGGTACAGCAGCCACTCGCACAACTGCCTGAGGCAATGCTTCCTCCATCCTTCACCCCCACAGGCTGAGCAGACGGGTTAGAAAGAACTGGAAGAACCCAGTTCAGGTCCCTACACTTCTGCTGCTTCTCAGAGTTACAGAGAACTGGTTAGTCAGGCTGAACCCAGTCCTCCCCCGTGGGACTAGGGTCTGCACAGTCCACCTTTCTCCATGGTGGCACTAGATCATGACTCTCCTGTCCTCAACAAGAGGCTTGGGTAAGGAGGCAAGGAAGCGGAGGAACCAGCTCACTGTTCTTAGGTCTCCCTCACCCCAGGACTAAAAACCCCATTTTCCAGCTAAGAGTGGGAAAGAGTTAGAACTGGGGGGGGGGGGGGGGTGGTCTAGGCCCCATTGCCTACTTTTTTTTTTTTTGGTATTGGGGATTGAACCCAGAGGCGCTTAACCACTGAGCCACAACCCCAGCCCCCAGCCCTTTTTATTCTGACAGAGTCTAAGTTGCTTAGGGCCTTGCTAAGTTGATGAGGCTGACCTCAAACTTGTGATCCTCCTGCCTTAGCCTCCCAAGCCACTGGACCCATCTCCTTCTCTTGTCAAAAAAAAAAAAAAAAAAAAAAAAAAAAAAGCTGCAGGACGAGGAATTCTTAGTGGACAAGGAGGCTAGGGAAGACAGCTAGAGCAGAAGGAGGCAGGCTGGGAAGCCATGTCCTTGGGCCCCACCTCAGGCTCCTCTTCCTCTCACCTTGTTTCCTCAACATTCTGCTTCTCTCAATCAGTTCTGGGGATATCAGAATTCAAAGATGTCATCCTCCTGGTCCCATAGTGTTTGGGTCTGAGAGGTCCGGGTCAGCGGCACAGGACCTAGGACTGTCCACTGCTGCATCCCAGGCAGCTCAGGTGGAGATCTGCGTCACCCTGCCTTTCTCTTTTCTGAGCTTCTGGGCTCATCTGTGAATCAAGCTGCTGCTTTTTCTTTGTGGGGGAGGGGCAGGTACCTGAGATTTTACTCAAGGGTGCTGGACCACTGAGCCATATCCCCAGCCCCATTTTGTATTTTATTAGAGACAGGATCTCTCTGAGTTGCTTAGTGCCTCAGAAAATTACTGAGGCTGGCTTTGAACTTGTGATCCTCCTGCCTCAGCTTCCTGAGCCAAGGGATTACAGGCATGCACCAATGCACCTGGCTAATCAAGCTTCTTAAGGAAATCAGAGGCAGAAAGATTGAGGATGGGAGTGGGGGGCTTCTGGTAGGTGTGGGGAGGGCTGCACTACAGGCACGCCCTAAACCTCTCTGGTTTCTTCCTCACTGCTGAGTGTGGCGGGACTTCATCCTACTTAGGTGTACCCCTTCCTCTCCATCCTTCTCTTCCTCAGAATCCCTACCACTGAACAGGTCTCTGGGTTCTGTCAAAATGGGGACATAGAGGGTTTTCTCCGGGAAGATGGAGTCATTAATATACAGGTGATTTGCACACTTAATTCGGCGGACACAACATTTTGTTTGTATGTGGTGCTGAGGATCGAACCCGGGCTGCACGCATGCCAGGTGAGCGCGCTACAGCTTGAGCCACATCCCCAGCCCCTGCACACTTAATATGGTTTGCACCTGGTATTTGAGTGTTAGTCCAGCTGGGGTATCTGTGGGTTCCAACTGATGCTGCAGATGTCTTTCCCTCACTGGCAAGCAGGCTGAATGCACCAGGCTTCCATAGGAAGGAGCCCATCTCAGGGAATGGATATTCAGGGAATTCCTTTCCCCTTCTATCTCTTCTCCCAAAGACTCCCTACTTTCCCTGACACTATGCCCACCTCCCTCCCTCCTGACTTCTTCCTCTAAGCCCATTACCCTCAAATCTGTCCCTGGGTACTCAGTCCCTGCCACATAGACCTCTGACCTTTTTATTATTTGCAAAATGAAAGACTGGACTCAAACATAATAGTTTCCAAACTTCTCTGACAACTCACACAAATGTGTATAAATGGAATGAAGACAGCATAAAACAATTCTACCCGTTATTGCTTTGATGTGCTCTATGGTTTCTTCTCTATTCCACTTAAAAAATAATACTGGTTGCAACCCAATAACGCAGTAGTTCTCACCCTGGGTGCATACTTGAGTCACTAGGGAGTTTAAAAAGATTCCTATGCCCAGGCCCTTCTCCTAAGGCTTCTAATTTAACTGCTCAAAGGTGGGGCACAGGCACTGGGAGCCTCAAAGTTCCCCAGCTAATTTTAACATTCAGCCAAACCTGCAATCTACAGTGTAAAACCATGAAGCTCTATGGGGGCTGGGGTACAGTTCAGTGATACAGCATCTGCCCTACATGCACAAGGTCCTCAGTCTGATTCCCAGAACTGCAAAACAAAATACCCACAGGAGCTCTAGCCCAGCTTCTAAACATTGGCCTGCAATCAGAATCACTGCATGACTTTTTTTTTTTTTTTGAGAGTGGAAGCTTTATTAAGGGACAGCAGAAAAGACTTCTCCCCGGAGGAGGAAGGGATGGAGGAAGGAGACCAGAAAGGTGGAATCTGTGGAAGGGTGCATGACTTGAATTAAAAATAAAATGCTTGTTTTTGCCAGGTGAGGTGGCACAGGCCTGTAATCCCAACTCAGGAGGCTGAGGCAGGAGGATTCCAAATTTGAGGCCCGCCTGGGCAACTTAGCAAACAAAAAATAAAAAGGGCTGGAGATGCAGCTCTGTAGTGAAGTGCTCCTGGGTTCAATCCCCAGCACTGAAGGGGGGAAAATGCAAGGCCAGACTAGGTATGTGGTGAGTTCTGGGGATCTGCATTTTTATAACTTTGCCAGAGAGTCTGAGGCCAGAAGTACACACCGTTTGAGTGTCTGCAAGGATTTCCATTTGCTCTAGGGCTCTGTGGGTTTGGGTTTAGAATGCTGGGCTGCTTTTCTTTCTCTCTTTTAAAAACAGGGTCTAACTATGTTGCTCAGGCTGGTCTGGAACTTCTGGGCTCAAATGATCCTCCAGAGTAGCAGGGACCACAGGGGTAAATGCCACAGTGCCTTGCTTCTCGTTCCTTAGGTTCTAAGAAAAGTCAGGCATCTGAAACCAGCCTGAGAGGTGTGCTACAGGGAGGCCTGAGGGGGAGGAATGGCTAAGCAACTGAGGGATTCTCTTCCTTAGAAACCCAATCTACCCTCACAGGGGGGAATGATGACCTTTGCTCCAGAAGAATCTGCCTTGAAGCCATATTCTTACCCAAATAGAAAACCCCTCATTGGGGTTTTCATTCCTGTTACTCTAGATGGACTGTTACACCTGAGCACTGGAGCCCTATCCTCTTATCTTCTCCAGGATGTGGCTCCAACAAGTCTCCCCTCACTCCACCCCACAATCATCCCATTTACTTGATCCTGCCACAGCAGAACTCCTGAAGTATTGTCTCCACTTGCTGCCTGTTCTTCCTTACCTTGACCCAATGGCTCCACTGCAGCATCTTGTCAGTGTCACCAATAGCCTCCAAATTATTGACCCTAACATGATCCAGCCTCTCAGAGTGAAAGAGCTGGGCAGTCCTTACAGCTCCAACACTGTTCTCTCTTGGTTCTGGTTACCACCCTCTTTTGGTTTTCCCCTGCTTCACTGGCAGCTCCTTCTCAATCTCCTTTGCTAGCTCCTCATACCCCATGAGCTCAAAGTTGGAAGGGCCTGGGGCCCATCTCTTTTCCATCGCTCAATTGATGGGGGTGGGAGTGCTGAAGGTATTTGTCAACCCAGGTTAGGAACATTATCTTCAATCTGAAAAATTATTTACTTGGTTTATTTAAAGTTATTAAAGTAACCCGCCGCGGTGTTATTATAATTGAGCCTGAGGTGTTGATGTGCTTGTTGAAGGGATATTTACGTAAATGAACATATCTGCCTTAATAGGTGATGTAGGTCCCCAGGATGTGTGTGTAGGAGGTAGGGCAAAAAAACTACTCAAGGGGGAATATTTTCCTTGCTGAGGTTTTTCCCTATTCTGGAATATTCGCTCTTATGGGGTGGTCCGCCCCTGTCTCATCCTGAGAATTACCTAACAGGGTGAAGGAAACGTTCGAATCAGGAGGGAGAAATGTGTATCCCGCTGTATCCACAAGTATTCACTCGGATAAGAAGTTCTGCATCGGTGCGGGGGGCGGGCATAAACCAGCTAATATCGCAAGATGGGCACACCATTGTAAAGTACACCACAGCCGTTCTTCAAAATAAATACGACCTAGGTATACGTGACTCAGACAATTCCAGTTTAAATTCTTACCTTGCAGAAAAGAAGCAGAGCCATCCGGCCGAGACAGCAGGTTCTGTTCACAAGCAAAGTGCCGGAGGCTACAGCCGGGACCTCGAGGGCTGGAACTTCCAGCCTCACTGCAGACCTTGGCGTCAGCCTGCATCGCCCCCTCCATTTCGCCGGAGCCCACGTGCCGGTACCGGCACGGTAGCTTCCGCACCGTTTCGCGCCGCGCGCTTACGTACGTACAGACTGCGTACCCAGTGCGCATGCGCTCGTCCGGGGCCCACTCAGAATCGGCGCCAGCACGTGTCTCAGCGTTTACCAACAATCTGGCTCCGCCCACTCCCACCTCCTAACTCTAGCAAAGCCATTGGACCATAGCAAAAAGGGGGCGGGCCTTGGCTTGGGCTCAACCTACCCAAGGTCCCCCGGCCCTACACCGATGAGGTTCCCGTCAGGTTGTCCTCTTCTCTGAGAGTTATGGGAGTAATTAAAATGAAGCGATCAGAATAACTTTTCGGAATATGTATTGTCTTATCCACCCATATATGTGTCCTGGATGCTGTTTATCGGAAGCAAGTGTTCTTTTTCTCAGGGTATGCTGGCATTTGAATCAGGCTTATGGTGGGGCAGCCCCGAGTCTGGCCTAGGAGAGGGGCGGATCAACAAGGGCTTGTTAGCCAAGATGGCGGTAGCGATCTCAGTGGCTAGGGTCTGGGGGCCTAGACGAGGCCTGGGCCAGGCTACCCTCCTGTTGCTGCGGCAGCCTATGGTTCGGGGATTGGCTAGATTTGTGAGTACCGAGGCCCCAGGCGGTTTTTTCTAAGGGGTATATGGGGGCGTAAAGCCTATCTTTAGAGTGTGGGTTCTCTGCAGGGTGTGAAGGAGGGCAGTCACCAGTCACGGAGGGAAAAGCAGTGGGAGAATTGGAGAGGACACTTAAAGGAAGAGCTTCCATCTCCTTAGGAAAGGAAAAGCGGGGGCAGCTCCTGTGTGGACCCTGAGGGCCGGTGACACCTTGGAGATTGAGATGGGGGTTCCTCCTCTTTCCCTCTCACTGGGGTGGCGCCTTCAAGGGTCGCAGGAGAACTTTCCCCTCACAAGTCGGAGAATGAAACTGACTAAGTAAGGCGGAGAACTCCTTCTGAGTAAAAAGTCCTGTTAAAACAGAGAGAAAGGAGAGCTCAGATCCCTGTCACAAGCTTTTACAGGGCTTTGCATTTCTTTGCTCTTTCTCCCCAGTTCTAATTTGAAAGCCGATTACGGAGAAACTCGTTTGATTCCTCTGATGGAAAGTTAAGATATGTTGTGGATATTGTGCACAGGAGATGATCAGTATATGTTTGTTGAATTGATGAAGGGAGAAAAGCGGGAGAGAGGTTCAGACAGGGCCCTTTGCCCACGTTTCTCGAAAACACTTGAGAAAGCCTTGTTAATTATCAAAAGGGTCTGAATTGCTTTTGGTACATGCTGCTAAGGGGAAGATCACACTGCAAAAAGATGTGGTTGAGTCCTGGGGCTAGAGCTTGCCTAGTATGTGCAAAGCCCTAGGTTTGATTCCCAACCATCACAAAAGTAACAACAATAAAAAGTAGTCGGAGGGCTGGAATTGTGGCTCAGTGGTAGAGCGCTTGCCTAGCACGTGCGAGGCCCTGGGTTCGATCTTCAGCACCACATAAAAATAAATAAATAAAATAAAGATATTGTGTCCAACTACAACTAAAAAATAAATATTAAAAAAAAGTAGTTGGAAGCCTGTATTTAGAGGGGGGAAAAGCAGTGAACTGCAAGATTTATGAGCTAAAATTCCAGATGAGACAGGAATGGTTATGTGGGTAGTTTCTGACGCTACATCACGTGGGTTTGCGTCTCGCCTTGTCACTCTCCAGTTGTGTGACCCTGGACGCGGGCCTGAACCTGACACCTCTCTTGATGTAATTTTCCTTACTGTAGAATGTTAACAGTGATCACCTCCCAGGGTTGTTGTGAAAATACATAAAGAGCTGAGAATTGGACCCTACACATCATAAGGGCAGTAGGTATTTTGGCCACTGTTGTTAGTAAGGGTGGAGGGAAGGGACAGAAATTGACCTTGGAGATTGAGAGAGCAAAGAAGGTGACTCTGTGGGAGTGCAGGCTGGATTGGTGATGCTCTGGAAGGAATCTTTCAAGATCTTCTGAGATTGTTCCTGGCAGTCTTGTCCCCAATTCATAAGGCAGGGAAGATGAAATCTGTAGGAAGGAGCTCTTGGTAGGAGGAGAAACAGGGTAAGAGAGTAGGTCAGGAATGAGGCAGGAGTCCCCAGGAAGGAGGTCATTTGATGCAGGTAAATGCTGAAGGGTGACAGGAGTAGGTGGGGGAATGGGGGTAGGACAGTCTCCTGTTAATGGCTGTTCTCTGTGGCTTTTTTTTTTTTTTTTTAAAGAAATCAGATCCTCCACAGCTGATGGCAGTCCCAGGAGCCCATTGGTTGAGCAAGTGGGGCGGGAGGCGAACAGGAGGGCAAACTAGGGAAAGGTCATTTGTGACTGATTAAATCTGTTCTCCTCCTGGCTTAGTCTTCTGTTGCCTTTCCTTTTCTCCTTTGTTTATTTTGGAGAGGGTGGTGAGAAGGAAGTTTCTACTTTTCATTGATTTATCTACTTTAAATTTTATTTTATTTTTGGTGCCGGTGATTGAACTCAGGGTCTTGTGCATGTAGGGCAAGCACTCTACCAAAGGAGCTATATCCCCAGACCTAAATTTTATGTTTTCTTAGAGTCACTTGCCCTTCCCCCACCTGTTTTTATCCCACTTGTTCTGAGATTAAGAATCCCTATTTTTTTGAGTGAAGGGAAGGGACAGTAGTAAAGATTGCAGACCAGGGCTGTCCAATAAAACTTTCTTTGATAGTGGAAATGTTTTCTATTTATGCTATCCAGTACAGTAGTCACTAGCCACATGTGACTACTGAACACTTTAAATGTGGCTAACAAAGCTAGGTGTGGTGGCACATATCTATAATTCCAGCTACTAAAGCCAGCTTTAGCAATTCAGTGAGACCCCGACTCAAATAAAAAATTAATAAAGGGCTGGGGATGTGGCTCAGTGGTAAAGTGCCCCTGGGTTTGGGCTGCAGTACTGAAAAAATTAAATAAAAAAATAAATGTGGCTAGCAGATTGAGGAACTGAAGTTTACTCAATTTTTTTTTTTTTAAGAGAGAGAGAGAGAGAGAGAATATTTTAATATTCATTTTTTAGTTTTCGGCGGACACAACATCTTTGTATGTGGTGCTGAGGATCGAAACCGGGCCGCACGCATGCCAGGCGAGCGCGCTACCGCTTGAGCCACATCCCCAGCCCAAGTTTACTCAATTCTAATGAGTTTAAATGGCTGGTGGCTGCCATATTGGAAGGTGGAAAGTACAGCTTTAACCAGGTGGAGGTGAAGAGTGTCTTGGGAGGAGGTTGGGAGGTTTTACTGTAATAGATGGATTAAAGTAGATTATGAGGGCAGGAGGTTTCGGGGAGGGATGGGGCTGCCTTTCTTTGTCCCCTGCCTTCTTGCCTCTCCTCTCATCACCCCTTTCCTGAGCACCCTGCTGCCCTTGAGTGCTTGCCTGATTTCCTTCCCTCTGCTGCTATTATAGCAGATGTTTTTAGTGGTTAGAGAGAAAAGGAAGAAAACTCAGACTGACAGGTAGTCATGAGTCAGTTTTGCAACACCACCCCAGGGCTGGGCCTGTTGGGGCCATTTCACCTCTGAGCCTCATTTGGGAATGAGTAGAGTCCCTACCCTGCTGGAAGTCGGGGAACAATTGGAGCGCAGTCTATGCTCATTACCAGTAAAGTTTCTCCAGCCCAGCTGTTCTGGGATAGCTTGTCAGGGGCTCCAGTGCCCTATGCAATAGCTCCATGTAGTAGGTACCCATGACCTCTGATGGAGGGGGACTCACCCAGGTCCTGTAGGAATTCAGTGAGCACAGGCACTTAGATTAAGTGCTTCGTGTGGCGCCTGTGCGCATGGCTGGCTCTGGCTGTCCTGGTCTCCAGGGTGCCAGACTTGGGGCCTTTGTCGTTCCCCAGTACTGAAGCATTCCACTCCCCTTGCCTTTGTCCCAGCCCTGCATGTCCAGCAGCCTGGCTCAATTCCCGTCCTCCAGGAAGTAATGCTGCTGCTCCCTCTGGTCATAGTTGGTGAGAGTTCCTCCTATGACGCAGGCAGTGGCTTTACCCTACCTTCCACAGCCTGTGAGGCAGATATTGTTCTGTCCATGGAGAGGCACGCAGGTTCAAGGAGAGAAGTTCCTGCTCAGCGTCATGTGGCTGGAAAGCCACAGAACCAGGATTTGGAGTCAGGCAATTTAGTCTACCTTGTCCTGTGGCTCACCATCATACCATCTTTCCCCTCGTGTTTGTCATCCATCCCTCCCTGTCTCCAGCGTTCCCTTCAGGTCCACCTTGGGGCCATTGTTCAGTATCTGCCTCTTTGACCAAAATGGTCAGCTGGTACACCTGCTAGCTACTGTGTTTGTCAAGCACTTGTGCTCCAGGCACTGGGCTGGGTCATGTACACATCAACTCATTTCAACCTCACGGTAGCCCAGGAGGATGTGTACAGGAGAAACAGGCTCCTGAGGCCTGCTTGATGCTGTGCCTTTGACTATGGTGCCTGAGGGAATGACCCCACAGCGGCCTTCCCAAACTTGTTGGGCAAGACCAGGCCATTCAGCACAGGTGGCCAGGGCTCCCCTGTAGTTCTAAGACTTTTGGTAAATATGTGTAGCCTCTGCCATCATAAGCCACTGGCCACTGGGCCAGCTGCCCAAACTGAAGGAAAAAAATGGGTGGGGTCATATCCTTTAGTAGGCATTTTAAAAATTTTCTTTCTTTTTTAGTTGTAAATGGACACAATACCTTTATTCTGTTTATTTTTATCTGGCGCTGAGGATCGAACCCAATGCCTCACACGTGCTAGGCAAGTGCTCTACCATTGAGCTACAACCCCAGTCCTAATAGGCATTTTTTAAAAATATATGGTTTTTAGTTGTTGATGGACCTTTCTTTAATTTATTTTTATTTATACGTGGTACCGAGAATTGAACCCAGTGCCTTAGACTTGCTAGGCAAATGCTCTGCCACTGAGTTATAACCCCAGCCCCCTTTTAGTAGGCATTTTGCACCCCATCCATAATAAGTGATTCCTCAGGTTTCAGCCATGAGCTGAGCCCCTTGCAGAGCTCACTGAATCCTACAAGGAACCATGGGGTGTGGATGGCCATCATTTCCACAGGCCCTAAAGGAGCCTGGAATTCATGGTGGGAACTCAGCTCTGGGATCAGGGGCTCACCAGGACGCCCTACAGAAGCTTTCCAGACTCTAGGCCATGGTCCTGCTCTGACACCCTGGCTCTTCTCAGCCCTGTCAGCCCCTTCCCTTCTGACCCCTGCCAGCCCCTAGTGAGACCCTGTCTCAAAAGTAATAAAACATTCCTCCCCAACATCAGCCCTGAGGCCCGTTCTGTCAGTGCGTCCTTCACTTCCCCTGTGCTTCAGTTTCTCCCTTGGCAAGGCAATGTGTGTTGGAGTCACCGCCTGGTATTACAATTTAATTTCAGGTACAGCCAGTCCTCCTCCTCACGCTACTTTGCCCATCTTTTTCCCAAGGTGCCCATCATTTCCCTTTTTCCTCCTTTTTTTTTTTTTTTTGTAGGGGTCGTAATTATTTGGTGCTGGGTTGGAACCCAGGGCCTTGCGTGTGCTGGGCAAGCACTCTGCCACTGAACCGTATACCCACAGCCCCTGCTTTCCTACTTTTTAACCTTCCCAGACTTTGTTTTTTTCTCTAATACCATTTCTCTTTCTTTCTTTTCTCCCTTTTTTGTGGTGGTGATTGTGGTGGTGATGCTGGGGATCAAAATTTTTTAAACACACAGTACCCCTCCATCCCAGGCCTGCGCTGACCCCTTGTGTGCATGGACTAGGAACTTTACACATAGCTCTCTGCAGGCTTTTCACAGGGAATTCAAAGAGATGAAGTGTTCGCAGAGAGCCATGCAGTAAGCTCAGAAATTGGAATCCAGGTCAGTCTGACTCCAGAGCCACTAACTTAACTGCTCATTCATCCGTTCGTTTGGTAATTATCCATCAAAAGCCTGTTACGTGAGCCAACCTGGACGCCACCCCTGCCTTCCTGGAACTTGCATGTGTGAGAGACAGACACAAAACAGAGGAATCTTCCTGGTCCACGTAAAGGCCTAGCCGTGCCCAGTGCTTGGAAGGGGAGCAGGTGCTGCCTTGTCAGAGGGGAAGGCATGTCTGCCCGTGTGTCAGGCCCCAACCTGCCCTGCTGCCAGGAGTGTCATTTCCTCACCGCCACAAATGCAGATAATTGCACATACATTGCATGCTACCCCCAGGAAACTTGGTGGCTTGTTCACTGCAGTTAAAGGAAGGGAGGGGGACACGTGAGCCCCCACACGTGAGATGCAGCTCATGGTGAGCTGGTCCTCCTCTAGCTCCCCCTGAAAGTGAAGCCACAATTGCTGACCTGGGAGGAATCCAGGCAGCGGTGGAAAGGAAAGACGCAGATGTGGAAACTGAGCTGGCATTGGGGTTTAGAGCTTGGGTTTTGAGGTCTGGATCTCAGGCCCCAGGTTAGAAGCCCAGTCTTAATGTAAATTCTGATTTTTTTTGCCCATTGCAGACTGGTTACCTCCCCAAGCCTCTCCTCCCAGGCAATGAGGAACAAGCCCACCTCACAGGTGCCCTGAGGACTTGCTGAGGTGGTGCAGGCAGAGCGCTAATTGGTCTACCTCCTGCGGGGCTCTCAGGCTTTCCCAACTCTGCCTCTTCTGGTCTGAGGAGTGTGACCTCCCCACAGGGCTCCTTGCCACTTTCCAGTTTCCGGGAAGAACACCTCATGCTGTGCTCTTTGTCTTTTGCATATTCTGTCCCCATTGCCCAGGATGCGCCCTCCCTGACTCCTAGTTGTCCTGCAGGCTCAGCTCCAGCATCACTCCCTCAGAGAGGCCTTGCCGTTTCCACTGTGCCATGAGAAAGTACCACTGGGTAATAGGGCTCCCCTCGGCTTTACTTGTCCAGCATCTGTCTTCCTGCTAGTAGGTAGCAAGGACAGATATTTAGGGTTCCCAGAACCCTGCACAGGGCTGGGAACAAAGCAGGTGCTCAAATATTTATTGAATCAATCAGTCTGAGCTTGCAGGGGAAGCCAGGCCTGGCTTCAAGAAGGTAGCAAAATGTGTGGCGCAGTTGGCCAGGTGATGGGAGAGGAGGCTACTTCGTCAGGGTGAGCAGCAGTGTGATAGAAACCATCATAGTCGGCATTTTTCTTGAGCATTTACTATTTTGTAGATAGTCTACTGAAATATACATGATCTTCTTTAAACTTTGCAGCACTCCATGAGGTGTTTTCCATTTTATAGAGGGGAAAGGAGACACATGAAGAGGGGAAGTCCCTGTCCCTTGTCAGCTAGAAGGACATTCGAATCCCGATAATCTGACTCTTAAAAACTCAACAACTTAAGCTCTATTCTGGGTTGTCCTCCCTGGTATGTGGCGTTGGGGTCAGTAATGGGTCTGTCAGGGTGTCTGAACATGCCTGTGGTAGGAGTGGGGGACAGAGGGAGACTTGTGGCCAGACTGGGGAGATCTCAAAAGCCAGGATGAAGACTTTGAGCCTGTGATAATGAGAATGGCAACAGCTGCCAGTTCCTGAGCAGCCTGCCATTCAGACTACGTGATTTCATTCTTACAATAGCTCTGTCGAGTGGATGTTCCTGTTTTGTTCTAGTGCTGGAGAATAAACCCAAGGCCTTACACACGTGAAGCACACACTTTGCTGCTGGTGGATGTCATTTTCATCCTGATTTCTCAGATGAGAATCCTCTATGGTATTGTAGTAATTTGGCCAAGGTGTCACAGCAATAGAGTAGAGCAGGGTTCACACCCTGTGCGCCAGACCCCATGGGGCTGTGCAGCTTACCCATCATGCTGTCTTGTGGCTGCTGGTGTTGAGCCAGCCGGAACCTCAGTGCGGCTCTTGACTCAGTACCCCTTCCGCCTTCTCCCCAGCACCCTCTCAGGCAGCAGCAGCAGCAGCAGTTCTCCTCCCTGGACGACAAGCCCCAGTTCCCAGGGGCCTCAGCAGAGTTTGTAGACAAGCTCGAGTTCATCCAGCCGAATGTCATCTCCGGGATCCCCATCTACCGTGTCATGGACCGCCAGGGCCAGATCATCAACCCCAGCGAGGACCCCAATGTGAGGCTGTTCCCTTCCGCCCCTCCCCGCCATGTCCAAGTCCCTTGTTTGTTTCTTCTCTGGTCTCATATGCCCCTATCTGTCTGTGTCTCTGTTCACAGTTGCCCCAGGAAAAGGTGCTGAAGTTCTACAGGAGCATGACACTGCTCAACACCATGGATCGGATCCTCTATGAGTCCCAGCGACAGGTGCGTGGGGACAGGCCTGGGGTGGGAGTCAGAATTATCCTGTACTTGTGCTTTGGACCAAAGGACAACTCCCAAGGAGAAGAGAGGAATGGAGATGTTTTTAGAGTTCTTGGGATTCTCTCAGGGCTCTTGAGGAAGTATGGGAGGGGTCTAGCCCAAGGACAGAGAGATGGATGTAGTCATTAAAAACTCCTGTGTGTGTGTGTGCCTGCCTGGGCTCATTGTTCTGGGAGAGGCCAGAGAGGAGAAGGCCCAATGGCCCTTCCTTGGGAGAGCTCATAGACCTGAGAAGCAGGGTGGACCCTCTGTGCTTCCCGCAGTGTCCAGGGGCCACTCAAGGCCTATATCCAGTGTGTCAGTCTTTTGAAGACTTAGTGTCAGAGGACTGACCCAGTCAAGCCAATGTGCACCAACAGGGAATTTATTGATTCAGCCTCATGTCCCCAGGGCCCTATTTGCAGGCTTAGCTGGATCCAAGGGCTCAGAAGTTCTCAGACATCTTTCTCTCTTTTTCTTTTGCCTTGGCCTTCTTCATTCTTGAGCATGGGTGGCATTTTATCAGGCATAGTGCTATGGCTAGTGGTCAGTACTGAGCAGCTCTAGGCTCACGGAGAGGTGGCAGAGGGAAAGGAATCAGTACAGGCTCTAGAGCAAGCCTGTAAGATCCAAGTCCTAATTCTGCCCCTTTCTAGCTCTGTGGCTTTGGGAAGGCTGCTTTATCTCTGAGTGCTACCTCAGCATTGCAAAAAATGTAAATAATTTTTTTTTAAAGGGGATAATGCTAGATGCTATCCCATAAGGCTGGGGTAGGAATTCTGTGAGACCCAGCATGTAAGGCCCTTGCCCATTGGCTGACACTGAGGCAGATTACCATGACTTTCACAATTGAACCTATGTATACTAGGATTATGTTTAGCTGTAAGTGACAGATTCCTCCTCACTCCAAAAAAAAGCCTTAGCAAACAAAATCAAAAGCAGTAGCTTAACAGATAAAGTAGTTTGTCACTTGGATTAAAAAAAAAAATCAGTGTACAGGTGATTTGAGGCGGGTCTGATGTCACCATGATATCAGTGGATACCTGGCCTCCTTTCACTGCTCTGATCTAATGTCCAGAATGTTGGCTTCTCCCTTCTTCAAGGTCCACTCATGATCCAAAAAGGTGCCAGAGTTGCCTCTATTGTGTCTCACTTCAGGCAGCAAGTAGAAGGAAAGTGGAAGGTCAGATATGGCACATCTCAGCTGCCATCTCCCCACCCAAACCATTATAGAACTTTCTAGCAAGTCCCTCTCAGTAATATCTGCTTTTAGTTGCTACCTGCAGTGTCCTCTCTTTCTCTTTCTCTTGGAGGTTGAAACCAGGGGTACTTTACTACTGAGCTACATCCCTAGCCCTTTTTATTTTTTTAAATTTTGAGACAGGGTCTTGCTAAGTTTCTTTGGGTCTCACTAAGTTGCTGAGGCCGGCTTTGAACTTGTGATCCTCCTGCCTCAGCCTTCCGAGTCACTGGGATTACAGATGTGTGCCATTGTGCCTCTCTTAACAGAGGGAAGAGGGTTAGGCACCCAGTAACCTTAGCCACTAGCCTGAGTCCTGTGTCAGGCCCCTCTCCATACTGAACTGAACAGCTACCATCCTCCCACTCGGTTGGCACTGGAAGACTAGTTAACCTTTAATTGGCTCCCCACTTAGAAGAAAGCACTGTTTTGTTTCCCAACAGCACTTGAAACCAGGCCCAGGAAGCACATGGAGGTGGGCTTTGCTGAGCCCCAAGGGGGGCTTAGCAGGGGGTGGCCTTAGGGGGCCACCTCAAGCTCACTTCGTTCCACCTTCTTCAGTCCTGGGTGATCTCATCTCTGTCTTACACCGGGAGTTCCCTGTTTCTCCAGACTTCTTGGAACTCTAGATCAACTTGGCACTTTGCCTTGGATGTCCCACAGCAAACTCAGCCTGTCCAAACTTGACCTTGGCATTTTTCTCCCAGACCTGCTCTTCTTCTTCTCCCAGTCCATTTATCAGGGGTGGGTGCCACAAGTCACCCCTTGCCCAAACTGAAAACCTTTATCTCATCCCTTTCCCTGCCCTTCCCTTGCCAGCTCTTTCTCCTCTTAGCCGCTGTCTCTAGGTCTCACCTGAGGAATCATTCAGCTTCTCAGCAGCACCACTGGGTACCCAGTCCCTTCCTCTCTTTCTGTTTCATTGTTGGCGAGTTGGCCTTCATCCTGTGCTTGTTGCCTCACATTCACAGGATGGCTGCCACAGGTCCAGGCATCATGGCTCCAAGCTAGGCAGGAAGAAGAAGGGGGCGGGGCATGGGTGATGCCAGCAGTAGAGTCCTTTACCCAGAGAGCACAAGCAAACTTGAAGAGTCTGGCTACCAGGGGGCCGGGAACCTGAGCGTTCTGTTCCAGGGCCTAGGGCTGGAGGGTTCTAGAGAAGGGGGCTGGCTTGAGCACCCTCGGCACTGCTAGCTCAGCTTTTGAGGACTCCTCTGTCTGCCCCTCTCCCTGCCTGCTAGGTGAGGCCACTGCCCCCAGTCTCCCGCTCCCTCGTGGGCCCTGGGTCCTCCATGTGCCACACACAGTGGGGAGAATCTTGAACACCTGTGTGACCGCACTGCTCCCTGGGGCAGGTGCCACTGTTCTCAGAGCACAGCTCAGCTGTGCCAGTCGCTTTGTGGTCTGGGTGTCGCCTCCCTCACTGCTCTCCCCTGTGTCCCTTCTGGACTCATCGTGGCCTTTATCGTTCTTCTGCCTGGAGCTGCATCTCTTCACCCAGGCTGTCTCCCTGCATCCCTTCTTCGGGCTCTTGTCCCAGAGACCCCATCACCCTGGCTCTGACCATCCTGGCAGTTCCTCTGAAGGTGGGAGCCCCACGTGGCCTGGCCTGGGGCCAACTTTGTGAAAGACTGGATGAGCGCCATCAGAAGTTGGTACGATTCTCATGGTGGTCATTGCCCAGTGTAACCTAGCCTGGGCCTTCGGGCCCCCTCCACTCTCAGGGCCGGATTTCCTTCTATATGACCAACTATGGCGAGGAGGGGACCCACGTGGGCAGTGCAGCCGCCCTGGACAGCACGGACCTGGTGTTTGGCCAGTACCGGGAGGCAGGTATGTCTGCCTGGGGCCCCTGTTGTGGTCCACAGTTTTGTTCTCCCAGGTGCTCTTCCAGGGGCAGCATAATGCCACGAAGGTCTAAGAAGACAGAGGAAGAGCTTTCCATGCTGTCAGGCCAGGGACAGGACTTTGGGGAGCACGCATCCCCTCCCTGAAGGCCGAGAAGCGTGGTGGTGAGACTCTGCTTCTCCCCACTCTTTACCAGTCATCTGAGCCACGGTTGTGCCACTTCTGGAGGAGAGTCAAGGGCTGCTGGAAGGATGCAGTAAGGTCGGCATGTGCTGTGGACCCCTGTCCACCTGGTGTAGGGCTCTCCGGGCCTCTCCCAGGCTCTGCTGTCCTCCAGGGAGCTGGGACAGATGGGAAGATGGCAAACATGGTGATGACAGGGAGCTTGACAGATGCCAGCTGGGGAGCTGGGGAGGGCGAGTGAAAAGAAGGACCAGAGAACAAGCCTGAGGGAAATGGCTGAGCCCTGGCGAGTGCCCGGAGCGGGGCCTTAGCCCAGGGAGCAGCAAGAGGGCACTCTAGAGTGGTTGCTAGTGTAGGGCCCCCACAGGGGTATCAGTGAGCATGTGCCAGGGGCAAATCTGTACCTTCCTCTTAGGCAACCTCAGGCAAGTTACTTGACCATGCTGTGAGTCTTGTTTCCTTGTTTGTTTATTTATTTATTTATGTATTAGTTCTGGGGATTGAATCCAGAGGGACTTTACCACTGAGCCACATCCACAGTCCTTTTTATTTTTTATTTTGAGACAGGATCTTGCTAAGTTGCTTAGGGTCTTGCTAAGTTACTGAGGCTGGCTTCAAATTTGTGATCCTCCCACCTCAGCCTCCTGAATTGCTGAGATTACAGACATGTGCTGCTGTACCCAGCTGTTTCCTGCTTTATAAGGGAATGGTAACCCCAAATGTTTGTTGAGAGGAGTCATGGGGCAGTTGGTGCAGAGCTATTAATACTGAGCCTAGAACAGGGTGAGCATTCAGAGTTGGTGGATAGTGTGACTGGGGCCTCTCTCTGGAACATCTCTCCAGCACGGAGGTGGAACCAGGTGAGGGTGGCCATCTACTTCCTTCAACTGGACATGAACTAAGGTGAGGCAAATGGCTTGTGATATTTGAGGTTCAGTGTCATTCACAAGGAAAATCAGGTTTCCCAGACACTGGGCAGCTACAGACGGTTTATGCCAAGGCTGTGGTGCTGAGTGAGGAGGCAAGGCGACTCCCCTAATTCCCAGCTGACTTGCCTTAGTGAGGCCCATTGGCTTGGGTGAGTCCGCTGTCCACTGTGACATGGGAGGAAACATAGTCCTCTTAGAAAAAGCCAGCTTCATTGAGCTCTGGAAGGCAAAGGTGCTGTTTGTTTTAAATTTCCTACTACATGGGAATTGTCACAGAGTGCAGGCAGACTGTGGCCCCTCTGCATGAGGCAGGCATCCTGTTAACCTGTGAAAGCCAGGCGGGTCACCCACATCGGACAGGTTGTGGGTCTAGGCTGTGTGCCTTCTTGCAGCAGTCTGATCCCGTGACAGCCTTTGCATTTGCTGTGTGCCACCAGTGCCCTTCCAGGGCTGTATATAGAGCTCCTCCTGGGGCACAGCAGGGAGTGGCACTCAGTGAGGAGGACAGTGAAGAGGCAGCAAGGACCAAGGTAGAGCATCATCTCCCGGGGACCTGCAGTTTCCTGGGTGCTGGGCCTGAGATTATGTATATATATATATATATATATATATATATATATATATATATACATACATAATGTATTTTTTTTTTGCTGTGCTGGGGCTAGAACCCAGGGCCTCATGTATGCTAGGCAAGAGCTCTACCGCTGAGCTGCATCCAGCCCTGAGGCTGTAATTCTAACACCTTCCTGCCTCCTGCCCAGTACTTCTTATGTAGAAGGGCCTGGGACCACATTTTAAGATGTCTGGTGGCAGCGCTTGGACCATTTCCCGTGCTCCACAAGACCTCCTTTTCTCCTCCAGCCTGAGAGTTTTCTCCCCTAGCGGTTGCTGTGCAGTACGGCCACATAGCGTGCAGATTAGTATTATGCCCATTCAAACCTCTATAACAGAAGATAACTAAGGAACTAGTACTAAAGGTGAACGTTGAAGTTGTGCTAGACTAAAGTTTCAAGAAGGGCACAATTTCAAAGCTGATTGTCCAAGCAGTCTGAGCTGTGTTCACCATCGCTGTCCCAGGGGGCATCCACGGAGCGGATAAACAGAGCTACTCCCTTGCTTTTCTCTGGCACAAAATTTTTTTAGTTGTTTGTGGACCTTTATTTAATTTATTTATTTATTTATGTGTGATGCCAAGAATCGAGCCCAGTGCCTCACACATGGTAGGCAAGTGCTCTACCACTGAGCTACCGCCCCAGCCCCTCTGACACAGTCTTAATTTGAGTTTTGCCTTAGGCCCCCCTCTGTTCTGCCACTTGGTGGCGTGACATGGAGGCAGTTGTGGGAGCGCTCTGGGTCTGTTTCCTCTGTGAGTGAGAGGATGATCGTGCCTGCCGTGCGGGGATGCTGTAGTATTCACTTAGTGACTGTATAAAGACGCTCGGAACAGCCCTTGGCTCGTCGTATTATCTTCCTGTGTTTGCAGTTGTTATTCAAGGAGGACGTGCGTCCTTTGTGTACAGGGGGACTGCCACGTCATGTAATGTGACCCTATTAAATTGTCATCTGAAGAAAGGGTTTGGCAGTAAAGGAAGGGGTTTGGGAACCATGGTATCAGACAGCTGCGTCTCGGTGCTCACACCCTCAGGGCCAGCCATGGGACATCTGATCCACAGCACTGCTGAAGATAGGGGTATGAGGTTGTCCCCTTGTCAGGTAGAGCAGAGAGAGTCCTTGCTTGTTTTAGGATAGTCACAGATTCCTGCCGTCCTCTAACTTAGCAGGCAGGGCCCCTTTCACCAGAGTGGTTCCCTTTGATAGTGAGCTGGGCATCCACCAGGGGTTTGTTTGAAAAGAGGGTTTTACTTCCATAAATAGGATATTACCTCTCTAGAACAGAAGATATGAATGGGTGGCATGTACTTTAAGAATTGTATTCATGAAAGACACCTAAAAAATACCACAGTTTCTCATTGAAACAAACATCCTATAATACCAGTGATGTGGGAGGCTGAGGCAAAAGGATCAGAAGTTGGAGGCCAGCCTTAGCAACTTAGCAAGATGTTGTCTCAAAATAAAAAATAAAAAAGCTTAGTGGTAGAGCACCTCTGGGCTCAATCCCCATTACCAAATAAATAAGTAAATAAATAAAAGTCTCTTGGGTATAGCTTAATGGTAGAGTACTTCCCTAGTATGCACGAGGCCCTGAGTTCCATCCCTAACAAAAGAGAAGGGCTGTGGGAAGGAGAAAGAAAGAGCTAGTTAGCTGAGTTTCTGCCACCTTTTGAAAACCTGGATTGTCATCTGAACATTGGCCTCCCCCTTGACACACCTCTGCTTTCCCGTCTCCCATGAGTCATGTCTGCAGCTCCTGCCGGGTCCCTGTGAGTTCTGAATTTGCCTTTCCTGCTCTGTTCTGGTTCCTTGTTTTACAGACAGGGATACAGAAGCCTGGGAAAGAAGAGGCCCCCCCCAGGGTCACCCACAGGGTTGGTGTGATTCCCCCAAACCACTCACCAGGCTAACAGCTGCCTTTTCTCCACCAGGTGTACTGATGTATCGCGACTATCCCCTGGAACTGTTCATGGCTCAGTGCTATGGCAATGTAAGTGACCCAGGGAAGGGGCGCCAGATGCCTGTCCACTATGGCTGCAATGAGCGCCACTTCGTCACCATCTCCTCTCCACTGGCCACCCAGATCCCTCAGGGTGAGGATGCATGCCCTGACGCTCATGTGTGCAGACCCATTCACACCCTCTGGGCCCTGTCCCTTTCCCAGCCCTCACGGGTGGGCTTGTGTGTGAGCTTTCCGATGGTGCTGCTCTCAGACCCTGGCCTGTGCTCTGGACTTTCAAGGTACTTTTCATCTGGAACCCTTTTGAGAAGGCCCCAGTAATGTCCTCACCCCATTCAGCAGCCTTGAGCCAGCATGACCACAGTCTAGGTTTCCCAGGCTTCCGCCCGCCCCGACCCACTGCTCCTGGGGGAGCACACAGGCCAGAGTGCCCCTGCGTGTACACCAGGGTCCAGGCTCTGTGCAGGTGCTTGGCTTCTGTTGTCACACTGCAGTGCCATGGGGGTAAAGGTTATTATTTGCTGTTACTCCTGTTATAAAGAGCAAGAAATTAAAGTCAAGGAGGGAAAGTCAAGTGATGTGCTAAAGGTCTCCTGACAGGTAGGGAGTAGAAGAGCAGCTGGAACCGTGGACCATGTGACCCCAGAGCCTAGGTTCTGTCTCTACTCCTTGTTGGCCTCAGTCCCCAATCAGACACACTCCCAGAGCTCACTGGGTACCCTAAATCCCCTTTATACAGGTGGATGGAGACAGCGAGGGGTGGGAGAGGACTGCGGATGTGCAGGGTGGGTGGGCCTTGTAATCTTTACCTTTTGCAGGGACTTTGACCCTGAGTGCTCTGGGAGCTGTGGGTTGGAGAGGATTCTGTCATGGGGTCACTTTGCCTGGCTCTCGTTTTAAGAGTCCTCTGGCTATCCCTTGGATAACAGACTGCGGGGCAGGGCACCAGTGAGGTGGCTGCTGGTTAACTCAGGCATGAGCAGCCAGAGGCTTGGCCCTGGGGTGAGAAGGGCTTGGATTCTTGTTATATTTTGAAGGGGGTAAATGTGGGGGATGACAGAGTATTGAGTCAGGGATGCCGAAGTTTCTGGACTGAGCAATTGGAAGGTGGTGTTTGGTGGCAGAGAAGCCGAAGACTCAGGTGGGCAGGCTCTGGGGGGTTCCTCTCTGTGTCTAGTGACAGCTAGTCTGAGCCCAAGTTCTGGTGGGGCATGTGCGAGAGTGTTGTGTGTGTGTGTGTGTGTGTGTGTGTGTGTCTGCTCCTGCTCACCGCCCTCTCATTGCTCTGCAGCCGTGGGGGCAGCCTATGCAGCCAAGCGAGCCAATGCCAACAGGGTTGTCATTTGTTACTTCGGTGAGGGGGCAGCCAGTGAGGGGGATGCCCACGCTGGCTTCAACTTCGCCGCCACCCTCGAGTGTCCCATCATCTTCTTCTGCCGGAACAATGGCTATGCCATTTCCACGCCCACCTCCGAGCAGTACCGAGGGGATGGCATTGGTAAGGCCCACCGCCGCCTGCCTGCGGACAGAGCCCTGGAGGCGCGCGGCGCTGTTCCCCACCCCCTGCTCTGCCTCGCTCTCCTCCTCGCTCTGCCTTCATTTCCTCGCTCTGGACCTGGCTCAGTGCTCCGCCTCACTCCCTGCTCTTCCCTCGCGCTGCACATTTTCCTCATCTGAGCCCTGGGGCCTCCCTGTCCCTGCAGCGGCACGAGGCCCCGGGTACGGCATTATGTCAATCCGAGTGGACGGCAATGATGTGTTCGCTGTGTACAATGCCACCAAGGAGGCCCGGCGGCGGGCTGTGGCAGAGAACCAGCCCTTCCTCATTGAAGCCATGACCTACAGGTGCCTGCCTCTCCCGTCGCCACCCCCACAGTCCTGACAGCTACCATCTGTAGCAGTTCCCTCACTACTGCCCCTAGAATGTGGCTTCCACACCCGGGGGCCATCCCCCTCCCTGCCTTTGCTCCCTTTCCACCCCTTACTCCCTAGTCCCCCCATCCCTCTGACCCCTACTCCAGGGGCCCCAAGTTGACCAGGGCCCCTCCTGGGCAGGATTGGGCACCACAGCACCAGTGACGACAGTTCGGCGTACCGCTCAGTGGATGAGGTCAACTACTGGGACAAGCAGGACCACCCCATCTCAAGGTTGAGGCTCTACCTGCTGAGCCGTGGCTGGTGGGACGAGGAGCAGGAGAAGGCCTGGCGGAAGCAGTCACGCAAAAAGGTGAGGGGCCACTGTCACTTAGGCCGGGCGTGCTGGGGGGGCTGCTGTGCTGGTGGGTAAGCGCTCTGGGAGAATGGGGTGCTGGGATCTGGGGTTGTCAAGCTGAGAGACTCAGAGGGTAACCCATTATGTCCCCAGGTGTGGCTTATGGCATGAGGCTGTCACTTGGCCTCAGCCACATCTTGCAGTATGTCCTGGGCAAGCTGTCCTGCCACTTCCTCACCTCTGGAGAGGGTACTGGAGTTCCCCGTTTAGAGGGTGGCCTGAGGATGCGGCAGCTTAGTCCCTGAGCAGTGGAGATCCGCTCAGAGACAGTCTGGCACAGTTAACTTCACCACCTTTGTCTTCATCCTCTCCATTGTCCAGATGGGAACATAGAGGTTCAGCAGCTAACCCCTGGCTTAGGGTCCACAGGGAGAGGCAGGGCCATGGGGAGGTGTATGCCTCCCACCCTCTGGTGTCCCCCAGGTGATGGAGGCCTTTGAGCAGGCCGAGCGCAAGCCGAAGCCCAGCCCCTACCTGCTCTTCTCGGACGTGTATCAGGAGATGCCCACCCAGCTCCGGAAGCAGCAGGAGTCCCTGGCCCGGCATCTCCAGACCTATGGGGAGCATTATCCCCTGGACCACTTTGACAAGTGAGATGCTCCCCAGCTACTCCGATAGGTACCACACTCTGAGCTGAGGAGGGAGGCCTGGCAGGACGCCCACCCCCACTGCTTCCCCAGCCAGCTCTAATAAATTACTGGTGGCTGGGTTGTGCCTCAGACTGTGGGGGTGGCTCCTACTCCCCATCCCTCCCCTCCAGGCAGCTCCACTTGGGGGGCCATGTTTGCAGCAGTTGCTGAGACTTGGTCAGCTCCTCTTCACCTGTTACGGCGCCTCCTCCCAGGGGCCAGCCAGCATGCCTAGGAACCAGAAGCTCCTCCTCTGGTGGGTGGGGTGAGATGGCAGGGTGGCCTATGGAGTTTACTCAGTGACAGTTGGTCAGGGGAGTAAATAAACTCTGCGGCTCTGCCTGTGGCTCTTCAGCACTTCTGGTCTCTGTTACCTGGAGTTTGGGGGACAGGGGAGGGTCCAACATGACTAATCTGGGACACACCCGGCTTCTACACATTAGATACATAAGGACAAAGCTGTTGAGATATTTGCTTCCCCTGCAACTTCCACAGGCTGGAGGGTCAGGTTTGGCAGATGGATGGGGTGGTAGGAGGCCCTCCAGAGATGGTCCCCTGCTCTCCCATGGGATAGCTCAAGCCTAGTGTCCAGTAAAGTGACCAGGATACCTATCAGATCTGCCACTCCAGGAAGGGGTGTGTCTACAGTGAAGGTTCAAGGGCAGCTGAGCTCTGCTTCGTTGCACCCCGTGGCCCCACAGATGCAAAAACCATTTGAGGCCTCAGAGTGGGGAGTACATATTTTTCAAAAACAAAAGGTAGACAAAAACAAGCCTCATCCTTTCTGTCCAGTCCCCTGGACAAAGAGTGCCCAGGAGTGGCTCAAGCAGTCCAGGATCCAGGACCTGCACCCTCACACCAAGACCTGCAGGCGGGGGCAGACCAGGTTAGCCCCTTCTCGCAAGGCTCAGCACTGTGGCTGCAGCTCCTGCAGCTGTCTCCAGAGCCGAATGCTGTCTTGGGGGCTGAGGGGCCGCACCAGCAGCAGGTCTCGGAGTGTACAGGGGTCTGTGGTGCGGTCTGCCGGCCAGGCTGTGAGGAAGCCTGGGTGTGTCCGTGGTACTAGACCCAGGGCTCGGAAGCAAAGGCCTGTGTAGACATCATCGAACGGGAAGGGTGCCACGCGGGCTGCCGCCTGCAGCAGCCAAGGAGCCAGGCGCCCCGCGATGACGTAGCCACCCCCACTCGCATAGGCTGGGTAACCACCTTCAAAGAAGGACCCGGGCACATAGAAGGGTCCCCCAGGCTTCCTGAGGGGCTTGGCCTGGGTGAAGACCTCACCCAGGTAGAGACTTCGGGCCCAGGTGGGCGGCAGGGCCTGCAGGTGATCCAGCAGGGCGGGCATGTGTACAAAAGCATCGTCCTGAGCTTGCAGGACAAAATTCACCTCCGGACAGTGGTGGCCCAGCCAGGCCAGCAACAGCAGGTCTTTGAGCGTCCGGTTGTAGGGGACGTCAAGGAAATCCCAGAGCAGCAGGTCATTGTAGCGACGGCTCTCCCAGGCCACCAGTGAGCGCAAGTCAGGGCCCCCCTCACCCACTGGGGACCCCAGCAGGAAGAGCCGCCGAATCCCAGGAGCTGGACGGCCCCACGTCTCCCTCACGGCCTGTCGTTCTGCAAAGCGTCCTGGTTCCGACTTGACAGCCAACAGCAGGAAGGGGACGTTAGTGTCTGAGCAGCTGGCTACTTGGCTGCCTTCAGGCAGCCACTGTGGGAAGCTCCGGCAGGCTGCTGACAGCAAGAAGCGACGGAGGTCCTCAGGGTAGGAGGTGAAGTCTGGGATCTCAGCAGCAGCAGCAGCTCCCCAAGCCTGGCAGCCCCCTGCCTCAGCACTGTTCTCACTGGGCAGGGCTCTCAGCCGCCACTGCTGCTGGTTCCAATAAGCTGAAGGCAGTGGGCCAGTCTGGCCCAGGCGGGCTGAGAGATTGGCAGGCAGGGTGGGCTCAGTGCTGGCTGATGTGGGGCCTGACAGCGTACCCCGGGGTCCTGGGTAGGCCTTGCTAAGCCGGGATTCGGAGGTCCACTCGATGTACACTTTGAGGCCCAGGAGCGTGAGCAATGCTGACAGGCAGAGCAGACACTTGGGGCAGCGCATGACCTGGCCCAGGGAAGGGGCAGCCGAGGGAGCTGCAAAAGGGAGTCACAGGGGAGCTACAGCGGTGTGACCAGCCTCTAGAGAGGGCCCGGCCGGGCCCCAGGCAAATTGCCTCAGTTTCTCAGTCTTAGCCAACCCTGTAATGGCTTCTCTCATTCTCTGACCCCAACAGGTCACCCCCAGCCTGCCAGGGACCCAACTGGACTGGGGACTTTCCCCTCCATTCCAATCCCATTCTTTTTCCACCTTCCTAAAAGCCCTGGAGGTGACCTAGTCCCCATTTCCACTGGCCACCATTCCTACCTCCTCTTCTCTCCATTCTTCCCAGGAATCAGGATCACTTGATCCCCAGCTGGCTGGAGGGTTCCTTTCACTTCTCAGAAACCCAGCCTCCCTCTCCCAGCAACACTACTCCAGGGACAGGGTTGGGGGACCGGGATCTGTCTCCTCTGTACCTTTTGGTCTGGCTCCCACCAGCTCCGGCGCGGCCGGGCCTCTGGTCAGGTTTTCTCGGTGCTGCCCCTGCCTGAGTGTCGTCAGGCTGCCAGCCCAGCCCAGCCCAGCCCAGCCCAGCCAGGGCGGGAGCAGGAGGCTGGAGGGCCCCAGGGGCCGGGAGGGGCTGGGGCGGGGCTGAGGGAGGAGGGAGTGGGGAGGCGGGAGGCCCAAGGGGAGATGAGCCTCCCTGCGAGTTAGGGCTGGTTTTCTGGTGAGGGGGGGGGGGAGGTGCAGGGGTGGCCACAGCAACAGATGGGACCCTGTGAGGCCCAGGAGGGGTGGTCCAGGAGCCTAGGGGAGAGAGTCCAGGAGAGGGTGAGGCCAAGGACTGGGTGGTGTCAGAATGACCCAGAGGGAAGCCGAGTCCCAAAGAGGAAAGATGGGGAGGGAGGCCAGGGGCTGGCTTGAGGCCACAGCCCGGAGGCGGTGTGAATGTGCTGAGTGGGGATGGATCGGCCGCCAGAGATAGGGATGTTTGCTGTTGCGCCTGTAGTCGGGGTAGGGGTGAGGACTGGCCTGGCAGGGAGGAGGCGGGACATCAAGAGGAGAGAAAGACAGCCAGGGAGACCTCGGCCAGGAGTCAGGAAGAGAGAAAAGAGGGAGACAGAGATGAGAGAGCCAGGAGAAGATGGGGAAGGTGCCCTGGAGGGCGTGGAGCAGGGAAATGGACATGGGTTGGCTAGGAAGCCCCTGCAGGAGCCGAGGTTGAGGGCTGTGGGTGGAGGACTGGGAGCAGGAAACCGGAAGGTGGAGACTGACCCTGGGAGAGGTGAAGGGAGCCTGTAAGGAACCAGCAAAGAGGAACAAGGAAGAAGGACCAGGTGAAGGGGAGCTAAGTGAAGGGCAGTAGGGGTGATGGGGGAGCACACCGGAAGCCAAGAGAACCTCCCCCCTCTTTGCCTAGGCCACCCACCCGAAGGGAGGCCTGTAAGCAATTCCTAAGGCTCTCACCCAGTCCTGGGGCCAGCTGCCCTGGTGCCTGCCCCTCCCTCGCTGCAGTGACTTCAGCATCACTCATGTCCCACCCCTGGGACTAGAAAAGGTGTCTGCCTGTGTTTACACCCCTGTCCTCCAGGGGCCTCTGCTGTTGGGACTGCGCCAGCTATCTAGGGAGGGAATAGGTGGGGCTTCCTTGTCCCACTGTCTCCTGGGACCTTGGGGCTGACCTCTTCACCCCACCTGGTTTGGAGAGATACTGTCCAGAGTTTGTCAGGAACCCAGTCAGCAGCAGAAGCTTGTTATCTGTCCAGCTCTGATTTCCTCCCTAAGGTTTGAATAATGGAACAGCTGGAGGAAGAGAGTGGGGTGGAAGTGGTGAATGCCAGTGGAATAAAAGCTACTTCTAGGAGAACGGCCAGGGGCCAGGCAGGGCCAGGCAGGGCCAGCCTGCCTCACCTGGGGTCAGGAGAGGAGGTCAAGCCCCCTGAACTCCTGCTCATCTCACACAGAGGTTTTGGGCCCCTCTCCTGGGGCGTCATTCTGGGTCCATTGAGGAGAAACCATATAGCAGTTGGAACAGGGAAAGTTTGATATAATTAAACTTGGGATTGAAGAAATGCAGGATTAGTCTGTTAATAAGAGGTGTCTACTTGTGGATTGCAGTTGAAGGTAGCCGTGCAGATCCAATTTGATCACTCCAACCTGGTGTGTCTGTCTCCCTAATTAAGCCTTTGGATTCCTTGCCTCTATATTATGCCAGGGCAGTTCTAGTCTCAGCCTCTTTACTGTAGGCTACTTTTGGGTCCAAGTTCCAGTCATCCAACCAAGAACTGTTAGAACCACCCCTGTTGCACAAAGTAACCCATTAAATCAGGCATCTCTGGTAAGTGTGCTCACCTTGCAAATGTCAAAGCCCCAACTAGTGTCAGAACCACCCTCATTGGTCTGAAACACTTAAAATCCATTCCTGCACACATTTCCCAAGTTTCCGACTATACATATATTTGCAGTCTTGTTCTATGGTAGGTAAGCTGTTCCTTCCTGTATCCTGGTAGGTACCTGTTCCCCTGGAGCAAGCTGAGATTTGACCCTTGGCATTTATGGATGTGGGGCAGCAGGGGAACACTTGTAAGTCTTAATAATGGATGCCCCCTTTCAAAGTGAGGATCCCAAGTCATCACAAGTTTTCCAAGCATAGGCAGGTTGATAGATCCCTTGGCACTGGTAAAGGAGTCTCTGAGTAACTTGACGCTTTGAGATGGGGTCCAACAGATGACCATTATAGCTTTTGGTGCTATAATGAAACCTCTCTAGTTCTTAGATGTGACATATTGGGCTTGTCATTATCTGTAAGCACTTAAAGGCATTCCCAAGAATCCATCAACATCTTACTGTTTAGAATTGTCCCAACTGTCACAGCTTTCAAGCCCAGCAGCCACTGGGGCTCCCACGCATGTGTTTCAGTTGGCAGCTCATCATGCTGGATCACCATAGGTGATGCCAGGGCTCTGATGCCACTGTGTTCTGGGGCATCCTGTTTCCCATCAGCAAGGAGCTTAGGGCTATGCTTAAGCCCAAAGCTACAACCAAACCAATCCCAAAATTCTATTTGGGAGTCTGTGTCCTGAGAAACTGCAGACAGATTCTGCATCCATCTGGATCCAATCAGGAGAGGAAACCACACAGTAATTTCAACAGGCAAAGTTTAATATAAAGAATTATTGATCTCAGCAGTGAATTGGGATCACAAGGAATTCATTGGTAAACTGCCTCCGAATTGACCAGAAGCCCATCCGGAGTGCTGGGGAGTTATTCACAGAGAAGCATCAACGGAGGCCCCTGTGAGACCACTGGTGGAGGGGGCGGGCACCAGAGGAGGCTGTGGACCACAGGCTCTCCAGGAGCTGAGTGCGGGGGAAGCCACCAGCTCGGCAAGACCAAGACCTGGAGCAGGTAAGCTGTAGGTACAGCAGAGCACGGGCCTCTCCTCCTGGAGTGTTCCTCCAGCACCCTCTGGTGGGAAGTCTGTCCTGCCAGTTGGCAAAGGAAAATATTTTAAAGGCCCAGCTTCATTTTCACAGAGCAGGCAGAAAAGTTGAATTTGGAGCTCAAAATCAATAAATCAATTACTGGCAACACTGTGGGAGTTCGGGTGGTACTGGCCTTCAGTAAGTGTGGGCCAGGGATGCTGGACATGCTGCTGTAAGCTGACCAGTCCTGCACTGGGGAGAGCCACTGCTGTCAAGTGCTTGCAGCACCCCATGTCAGGGTCCCTGCAAGAGACGGCCACATACTCAAATGTGGAACTGCTTAGGAGAGGCCTCTTGACAAGGCTGAGCCATGCGTGGGGCGAGGACAGCTCCCTGTCCTACTGATTGGGAGACTCTACCTCACCAGGCCCTAGAGGCAGGGGAAGGAGCAGTGTGTGGAAAGGAGTGCCTGACAGGGTGACAAGAACCCTGACTGCCAGCCAAGGGCAGCTGGGAATAAACACCTGACCTCACGCCCTCCTTCCCTCGGGCCTGCCAGGCCCCCTTCCCTGCTGCGTGATCCCCGTTGCAAGTCAGAGTGTGGGCACCATCACACATTCCATCAGCCTGCTGCCATCCACGGGAGAGCAGAGTGGGCTGAGGTCAGGCAGGGTTGGGACTGGCCAAGTCCTGAGGCTGCTCCTCCAGCCTCAGCTACAGCACCTGGTCCTCATCCATCCCCAGGACCTCACAGTTGGGCAGCATCTCCTCCACCAGGATCCGAGTGAGGCCTGGGTAGGACACAGCTGGGAGGTTTGAGATGTCCAGCCTGCGAAGGTTCCTGAGGGAAAGAAGGGCACTGCATGAGGACAGCATGTGTGTGCTTACAGTAGCTTTTTTTTTTTTTTTTTTTCCCTGGGGATGGAACCCAGGCCTGAATGGCTAGGGCTAGGCAAGTGCTCTACCACTGAGCTACAACCCTGATCTCAAAACTTTATTATAGTAAGCCCATGAAATCCCCTGGTTAAGTATACATGGTTCTGCATCAGTGTAAATACCATGAAGGCTTCATTAAAAGAAAACCATCATTTTAATTCTTCCACACGTGTGCTGCGACTGCTCATCCATACCTACCCCACAACCTTAGGGTATAGGGACAGCCCAAAATTGCTCCCTCCCCACTTTCTCTCCAGCATCAGGGTTGGGTGGGAGATGCCCTGGAGCAGGGTCCAGGCTGAGCTGAGGTCTTACTGGAGGTGGTGGAGGCAGGCAAGGCCCCGTTCAGAGATGTGGGGACACCCTGATAGTGAGAGCTCCTGCAGTGAACCGGCCAGCAGGTAGAGGCGGCTGAGACACCAGTCGTCCACATTGGGGCAGCGCTGCAGCGACAGGGACTGGAGCTCCTTCAGGGGCACTGTAGTGGGAGAAGGCAGGAGGGTAGCAGGGGCTGTCTGGAGCCTACCACCAGAAAGGGAGATGTGGAGGCCCTCCGACCCCTTCCCTTTCTGCCCCCTCACAGAGGTTGTCCAGGCCGTCGTAGTTGATGGCACAGCCACTGGCGTCCACAGCCTGCACAGGCACTGTCTGTAGCTTCAAGAACTCAAGGAAGAAATGGCCACGCTTATCCGACCTGATCCACTCATGGTCCTGAAACCTGCAGAAGAGAGGGAGGGAAGCCAGGGGTGGCAGTGCAAGCCTATAATTCCTGCAACTGAGGAGGGTGAGGCAGGAGGATCACAAGTTTAAGGACAGCCGGTAGTTTAGTGAGGTCCTCAGCAACTTAGCAAGGCCCGGTCTCAAAAAAATAAAAAGGGCTATATATGTAGCTCAGGGGTAAAGTACCCCTTGGCTCAATTTCAGTACCAAAGGAGGGGGGAGAGGGAGGGAGTATTGATATTGATGTTTCCAATTCCCCAGAACCCTCCCTTGCCCCTATGATAAAGTGACTGCACTAACACACTTCCTGTATACACATCAGCCTGTGCTGAGAGCCTCACCGCGAGGGCCATGTTGGATCCCATGACAATTCCAACACAGATGGAATGCTTGTCCAGGCTCACACACCTGGAGGCTGAGAGGCCTAGGGAATACAGATAACATATGAGCACAGAGCTAGGTGCATTAGTCCTTGTAG